CCGTGTAGTGAAAAATCCAGACTTTCCTTCAGCCATCTAACCACTAAGCTAAATCTCCATAGCCTCCATAACTTCATGTTGTTTGCAGTAACTGATGACACTGCTCAGTTTACACATCATTTTCCCCCCTAAAGAAGCCACCAACTTAATCTGGAGCCTTATGCATGCCAACTGTGTTCTCTAGCCCTGAGTTACAATTCCCAGCTGTGCAAGTTTCTCCATAATCATCCGTGCACCTAAGCATCAAGTCACACTGTGGTGACTTAAAACTCGGCTCCAATTATCCTTGAATGCATTTTACATTATGAGAAGGCAGCGTGCTAGGGTTTTACAAATGTAGCTGTAATATTAGTTATGTATCTTCCTTACCTTCTGGTTCTTAAACGTCAGCAAGCAGTGGGGCGAGTTGGGGAGGGTGGAGAGGAAAAGAAGTTAATCCTTGATCCTTTGAGATGTGGGATTTACTTTCCACCTGTGGATGTGAAGTACATGGGACAATGGAAGATCTAATCCAACGCTATGGTGTGTAGCGGTATCAAGAGGTATTAGCTAGTTACTGTAAACCATGAACATACAGATGTTGCTAGACTACTACCCAGTCCAGGGTTTCTCAACCGTAGCAACTTTAAGATGTGCGGACTTCAACTCCCAGTATTCCCCAGCCAGCATGCTGGCTGGGGAATTCTGGGAGTGGAAGTCCACACATCTTAAAGCAGCCAAGGTTGAGAAACACTGGCCCAGTCACATCTTGGCTGCCAACTGAAAAGTTGCACCGAATAACCATTACCTCTGGAGTATTCCATAGCCATGGTCCCAGTTTCAGATCCCAGCCACTCCAGTTAAAAAGGAGAGGTTGTGGGTGGAGCTTACATTCTTCTATAGTTGCCTACAGCCTTGACTTGAGAAGATATCTCTGCTCCCTGCGTTATATCCAAAGCGTCCTTATCTGCATGAAACAAAGTTGCCCCAGGTTTCTCCTGTGCTCGCTTCTTTTTGACTACTTTTGAATGGACATGACAGATGGCTTTTCATCTTCATCTTTCAGCACTACCACTGTTAGCATAACAGGTGATTTAATGAACATTGCATCATGCTTTCCAACGCTCTCCCAGCATCAAATTTTCCACGGCTTTTTCACTGAGATTCATGCAGCTGTTCTCCGGCTAGGAATTGGAAAGGAGGAGGCTTGTCTCCTGGGGATGATGGATAGCATTTTTTAAGGGTTTCCTACGGCCTCATAAAATGCTGCTACATTCAGATTTCGCATTTAGTTGGAGGCAGATTCTGGGGCAAACCTCAACCTGTCACTGGGGTTTTATGGCTCACTGTATAAATGACAAAAATGGTGCATCGTTTACTTGACTCACGGTATAGTGAGATTTGCTAGCATCATACCCTGTTCTCCAGAGATGGGCTGAATTGCTAGCATAGAACGGAGAAGCAGAAGGGGGGTCTTTTAGAGATGACTGCAAAATCAGAACTTGAGAAGGATAAAATTCCTGAGTAATAAGGGAGAAAAAACTGTATGTAATGTAACATTTGTGGGTATATATTTATTGGAGAAAGGGACTAGGATTCTGGGCCGTTGGGAGACCTACTTATTCTTTCTCGAAGTAAGACCCTAACCATTGCAAAAAGGCATCAAGACTAGCCAAGGTGAATATTTCAACCTTTTTTTCATAATTTACCAGCATTCATCCTTGTAGCGCGGGGCTGACTTAAGGAACTCATTGACCCAGCAATTAGGAGGTGGAGCGTGTTTCCAAAAGAGATGGTGACAGTCCCCGCTTAGGTGGATTTACGAAGAGATTTGTTTATACGCTCAATGGGTATTACTTATTTAGTTAGCTTAGCCTGGCTTTGCTTACCCAGCGGAATGGGTGACAGCTCTGTTAAGCCACTTGCAATGGTGGGGGGGGGGTTGTCTCCAGGCCCAACATGTCTGCAGATTTTTGTCCCTCAGTGGCTTAAGAACAGCCAAGATTGAAACATGATTTTATCCTCCCAAATTCAGTGGCTGAAAAAGAAAACTTGTAAGTTGGTACAACGAGGAGTAGGCCTTTTGTGAAGGAGTTATGAGCATCATTTGGGCACAAAACCCAAACTTGGAGGTGGGTTTGTGGGTGTGCCTGAGTCTCAATTATAGACTTCGCTCCAGGGATTGGATTTAGGGGTTCTAGTAAATAACGAAGTTGATTCCCCCTAAATCACCCCGTAAAAGACGAGAGCCTCGCCTAAAATTCAGGTTCATCTTTTCTCCTGGCAAATCGAATTTAGTTATTTATTGATTTACAAGTATTTACATGCTTGCTGGCGTTGATGTTTTCAGATGACAAAACATGATTTTTCCTTGTTCGTTTCCGTTTTCTCATCCCTCGTTCAGAGCTTTCCCCAGGAAGCAAATCTGGCTTGAGGCGGTGAAGTCTACTTGAATTTGAGATTCAGCTGTGGACGGTGTCATGTCTTACCAACAGCCTGTATAAATAGCAATGAGCTGTTAATATGACTGTTTGTGCCTGAATTTGAGACTTACTTTTTACCCTCCACGATGCAGCAAACTCTTAGTTACTGGACTTTGGTTTAGTGGACTTTGGATACAATGGACAACTCTTTCGTTTGGAAGCTGCCCTCGTGTAACCAATGAAATCTGTCTGGATGCTTTATGCTATTTATGTCAGTTTACGTCATTTGTGTTAATTTATGTCTTGTGGGTCAAGAGGTTGTGGCACAAATGTCACAATTTACATTATCCGAGTAATTACGCCACGGTGGTAGCAATGTGAAGCATGCGATTTGTTGCATTATGTCATGGTGCAAGTGATGTTAATTGATGCCAGCGATGTATTTTGGGGTTTAGGAGACATTCAGGAATGAGGGACTTGCTTTCTCACCAAATGGCCCATTCAAAGGAGGGTTTATGGTGGTTGTATTAGAGCAGGGAGTCCTAGGTTCAGATCTCAACTTGGTGATGGAGCTTACTGAGTTACTGGGGGCTAGTCAATTTCCCTAACCACAACATTCCCCACAAAATAATAATAATAATAATAATAATAATAATAATAATAATAATAATAATAATATCATCAGGATAATATTGAAAGGGAATTCTCCATCCACGTATGTTGATTTGAGCTCTCTAGAGGAAAGACATGGAAAAAAATAATTTAATATTAATTTAAATTTAAATTTAATTTAATTTCCTAGATGGATGTTGCCTCTATCAGATAAGTGCATGAGCTCCTGTAAAATCTGAGGCTGACCCTCAGGTTTCCTAAAGTTTGGTTCAGAAAACAGATCTGCTTCCTTTGGTGATTCAAAGCAATGTTGGAAATCAATCTGATTCCAGTATCTAAAGTGCATCTTTGAATGGCATCTTTGAACTGGGTCACCTCAATTCAGATGCTGAAATTGATTTTTTTTCAAAAATAACTCACTCCTGTCAATGCCCAGAAGTGCTTGAATAGAGATGGAGGGACTTGATTTAAGCCTTCAGTTTCCTTTCAGCTGGAAAGTCAGTTTGATTTAGAAATTTGGTTGAGTCCCTGTTGAACTCCAGAGTGAAGCTTCTTCAAAGCCTATTGGAGAGACTTTTTCTTGGAGAATTCCTCATATTTGTCACCAGAAAGTAGAGCGAACTTGTGGGGTTGGGAAATATAAAGGAGTATCTTTTAACATAAAAAATTAGCAGACTGGAGATTCTGTTACAGGCTTGTCATGCACACTGTTAGTCTGTCATGCTAACATTCCAGGAAAAAGAGGTTCAAAAACTTCAAAAGGACTATGCCCTAATGAACTCACTAATAAAGCAAGGCTGGGGATTCCTATCTCGGATCTCAAGATTCTGAACTCTAAGCCCTAATTCTTGACATGATAACTCATTAAAGACAATCTGTGGGACTTTCACTTCCTTGATCCTGCTCTGCAGCTAAAGGGGCCTGACAATCTGTTGCAGAAGGACTTTCCACCAAAGATTCTACGAATGGTCTTGAAAAATAAATTTCTTTCTCCACCACAATCTTGGAATGTTCTCATGAGTTCACCCCAGAGGGCCTTTTAGAAGAAAACCATGTCTCATTAAGAAGTGCAGAAATGGGAATACGGAGGATGGCTGCATTGATAGATTTGATCAATACCTAGAAAGGAGAAGTAGCTTTCAAGTGAGCAACTGAAAATAAAACAGGCCAGGTATCACTAAAAGAAAAATGAAAAAAAGAATGAACTTGGAGCCGAGCCAAAATGATATGAAATGATTTGGGACTGTAGTGAGTATGAAAGTAGTACACTGTAGTTTGTATAAAATGGAAATGTGGGGTTCTTTTTGCCCCCTGCTCGGCCTTCATGGGCAACTTCTGAATCTCCCTTTCTTGTAACAGCTACCAAAAACATCTATTTTTTTTCTTTTCTTATTTTGGGAGGGTGTGAAATCTGAGGTCTCTACTTTCCCATCCAATTTTAGTTTCCCTGGGAAAGTGTATTTGGGTTAGGGGGTTTTAGTTTGACCCCTAAAATTCTCCTTCACTAGCTTTGCAAAACTTACTGGTCACCCAACTGATTTGGGGAGCTCATGGTGACCAATGGGCTGCCCATGATGGATGGATATTTACTAACAATGTTTTTACATTCCTGTTTTGTGGGAGGGGGCTGAGCGTTTGGGGTAGTGTTGGTTAAGGGTGGGGATTTTTAACTGCGAGACATTTTGAAGGTTCTAGTAGTAGCAAAAAATGGGTTGGAGGCCAGATATAGGCTATAGCAGGGTTTCTCAACCTCAGCAACTTTAAGATGTCTGGCTGGGGAATTCTGGGAGTTGAAGTCCACCCATCTTAAAGTTGCTGAGGTTGAGGAACCCTGGACTATGGATCACAAGTTGTCAGAAAGTGGCAGTCAGGTTTTTGTTTAGGTTATTGGCTGTCTTATTTTTGACTGGGATGGTCTGAAAGATGAGGCAAAAGCTATCCCTTAATTACCTTTCCCCCTCCTCTCCCCTTTCCTTTCACTTGCAGTGGTGGACTGCCGAGGTGGAATTGTTGACAGCCTGCAAAGATTTGCCAGCTCACCGGTGTATCTCCCTGTGAGTTACCACCTTTCCAGCGCTGACGCTTCCTTCTTCCTCAAAGAAACCAACCAAGAGATCGTGAGGAATGCGAGCTTGCAGTCCCGCACAGAGCCTTTCCTGGTCTACAAAGCCACCCGCTTGCCTGTATTAAATGCTACTTATGGTCCTTACACTGTGGAGCAGATTATGCCTCCGAACCTGTGGCTGACGTCGCCTCTGTTCAGTTTCACTGACGGGTTCACTTTTAATTGGAAGTTACAATCGCGCATCGTCGACAGTTCCGTATATTCCAATAGGCCCAAAGTCCAGGCTTTGTTTTATGTTGCTGGCAAAGATTGGGAAGATCATGATCCGTCTGAGGTCTTGCCCTGCGTGCAGATGGTAGCTTTCCGGAAGGACAGAGTAGCTGTGGGCAACTGTCGATTGAAAGGTCACCTGGGCTTATGTGTTGTAGAACTGGAGTTCCCACCAGCCTGGTTCAACTCTGAGTTGTCAACTCCATTGCCACCATTGACTTCAGAGTATCAAGAGACAGAGGACTCACTGGAAGGGTTCACAGTGGAGCTTTTCTATTGGATGTACACAGCAGTGGAAGAGGAATGTCCTTCAGGAGATCCAAACCTGGAAAGCTTTCTTCATCCAGGAGGCCAGGATGAGGCACAGGTGCCTGTGGTCTCAATGGAAAAAGTTGGCAGTGTTATTCTTTACCCAACTCAAGACAAGCTCAAGAAGTCATCCCTGAAGCTTGACAACAACCTTGTGCTCTGTTTGCCACGTAGCCCAGTCAAGGAAGGAGATCTTGTCATGTTCCATGTCTCTCTCACCAGTGGCTCTCTAGCAGATCAGTTTACACTAAGGTAAGTGTTATAAATATGTGTTTTAGAAAGTGACATATGCTGTTAGAAATCAACCCAACGTTGGTGGGTTGGTCATGGTCGGGGTGAACCAAAGCAGCCAAGATAAAAAAAAAAAAATGGGGCTGTGGTCTATGGTTTCCCCTTGAATGCAATGCTATAATACTCAGTTCCACTTCTGCCATGAATTCCAGATTTGTAGAAACAAGAAAAACCTGCTGTTGCCATTGAAAGCTTGTTCAATGTTAGCTGTTCTTTTTAAAACTCATTGGCAAAAAATGAGATATAAGCTTGGGCTGGGCAGGGATCGGACCCTGGGAGCAGGGGCTAACCCTTTTCTTGTTGAGCTTACCTCAACCCAATAGCATTTTCCCTTCAAAGTAAGTCAAATCAATGGTGTTCATTTAAGTCCAGCAACCATTCCCCCCAAACAACAAAACCGCACAGAGACACAACTTGGCTTGATCAAAACCATCAAAAGAAAGCCAAACCATTGATAGCTACTTGAATAACACAATGTATCATTCAGCTTCGTGAAATAGGGACATACGGATCATAAAAAAGACGTACTTGATTAACTCAGCATCCTTTAATGATCATGACCCTGTTTTAATGGCTTCATTGAAAAACTTGCTTGTGTTTCCTTGGTAATTTTGAAAATGAGATCCCTCATTAGAATGTCTGCAAAATGTAGCTTCTTTTTGTGATGCAGGTGGATGGTCCAGCCTTGAACTGAAGAGATTAAATTCTCTCTTATATTTTTAGATGGTCTTCCTTTTCATTTGTGTATTCCACATGAGCTTCTCCTCCTCTTTATCTTCAAATTTCTCCTTGTTCTTATTTATTAATTAAAACTTATCTAACCTATCCACTGTTAGTAGATCTTAGCGTAGGACGCCATCAGTAAAAACCAGTGGCACCATTGTGACTGCATAACTTCATCTGAATGCAATTATAGACCTTTATGGGATTGGAAGTCCTAGACAATCCAGGTTCCTAGCCATGCAGAACTGTTGAGCCCAAGATCTCTTTTCTGTGTCAACATGAAATGGAGCTCACAATATTTCCATTAAAAAAAAACAACAACAACAGTTCTAGGTCATCCATAGTTTTTCTTTTCTTTTTATTTATACATTTTGGAGCATGTGTGTGGTATCCGAAGAAAGTGGGGATGTAATGTTATTGCTATTGTTGATGATCAGGGACCCTTGCGATCTTTTGCAAGATGGTAGAGATGGGTCTTCTGTCCAATTCAATCTCCATGATTCCTGTTTGTAGCTTCAACTATCAGCATCTCATTCTGGAACATAAAAACACGGAGGAAAAGCTGGAGTTTGACTGCTGGGGAAAGAAAGGCCAAATGGTAATTAGAAAGTGTTGCATGCTGAGAAAAGGATTAGATACTAGGGAAAAAAGATGTTGTAACTGCTTACTTCTAGAGAGACGTACCCTATCTTTATTCTACAACTGCTATTTTATCTGTCTGTCTGTCTATTATCTATCTATCTATCTATCTATCTATCTATCTATCTATCTATCATCATCTAATCTATCTATGGATCTCCTGTCTAAATCTATAACAGCACATATGCATGATGTTTTCCAAAAATGTATAAAAAGAAACATTTCTCTATATGCTTCTTTTAATGCACATGCTTTAAATTTAGCTCAGTGTGATGGAGATTCAACTTTGACCAGTAAAATCTCACTCAAATTACTGAGATCTGTCCAAAGTCTTTACACCGGCCGGGCAAGAAGAGTGAGTAAACCAGCATTTCTCCTGAGGGCTTTCAATATTATTAACTTGACCAGGATTAATTTATTTGACTTGAAGTTTATACATCTGAACACAGAATTACATGGAGGAAAATAAAAATCACTGTGGCTGTGGCATCTAACGCATACAAGTTTTCTTACTTGCTCTACTGATTTGTTTTCAGTCCATTAGTAATGTCTATAAAGACCCAGGAGGTATTTTATATATAAAATTTCTCTTGTCTTTTGGTCAGATATATGCGTAGCAGAATGCCTGCTGTGGGAGACTTGGTTTTCCCCCCCTTGTTTTTCCAAGTATAACTGATTGTTTTTAATCATGTTGGCTTTGTAAGTGGGGTGTAATATATTCCATTCTGAGTAACATGAATTTATAAATCAAAATGGGGCATGGTTCTCCCCCCGTGACTATTTCTCTGCAGTGCAAAAATCTTTCTTTTGAATATGTTGCTAGCTTTATTTTTCAGCACTGTCTTCCAGCAGGAAAATGCTCACCAACCTTTTCGCTTTACTAGATGCCGAATAGGTAGAAACAGATTTTCAATTTTTTGTTTCTTCCATTTCTTCCTTTCTTTTTTCCTTTCAAGGCTTAAATTCAGTTCATCTTGGGTCCTCATCTGCTTGAGATTTTTAAGGAGATGCATAGAAGGATAGAAACAGGCATCCTGTTTTTTTAAACAAAATGCAGGAAAAGAAACATGATGTTTCTTTTGATGCACGAGTTTAAATGTTAAACGTTGCAAAGTGATCATCTTGATTTGGCAGACTCTTTCCCCCTAATAATGCATGTTTCTCCACTTACTTTTTTGAAGCTGATAATGGCTACAGATACATGTGAAATCTTAGGGAGGCGTACCCTTCCAGTCGACATTTAACCCCTGTAGATAAGTCTTGTTTCTACATGCCTTCCTCCTAGGATATAATATAAGGATGGTGTTTTTACTAATAAAAAGGAAAAGGAAACAGAAACCAGGCAGAAACGAGGTCTGTGAAAGAAGTAGTGTGTGTTTCCCATGGTGTGTAAGTCTTCCTTGAATCTTCACACCAGATTGTATTGACAGATGTCACTTCTCAGTCCTGCGAAGGACTCACATGTTATTCTTCTGTTCCTTTTGCTGTTCTATTGCTTTCTCCCCTGAAGAACTTAAGAAGGAAAAAAAAAGATTTAATCCCCCCGCACCCCGATCTTGTTGCATACGTAGGAAGGAGAGTCTCTCTCCCCCCCCCGCCAGTATCACTGGCTCAGAATTGCAGGCCATTTGCATCTTTGCACCCTGCAATCACATGGCGCATTGGGGGACCTGGATGTTGGGGCAACAGATGTGGCCTGGGTTTATGTGCTTCTTTTGAACAGCAAGTGTCGAGTGCCCAGGACGACGAAGGCAAGAGTTTGAAAATGCAAGAGGGGCAACAGATGTGGGGCAACAGATGTGGCCTGGGTTTATGTGCTTCTTTTGAACAGCAAGTGTCGAGTGCCCAGGACGGCGAAGGCAAGAGTTTGAAAATGCAAGAGGGGCAACAGATGTGGGGCAACAGATGTGGCCTGGGTTTATGTGCTTCTTTTGAACAGCAAGTGTCGAGTGCCCAGGACGACGAAGGCAAGAGTTTGAAAATGCAAGAGGGGCAACAGATGTGGGGCAACAGATGTGGCCTGGGTTTATGTGCTTCTTTTGAACAGCAAGTGTCGAGTGCCCAGGACGACGAAGGCAAGAGTTTGAAAATGCAAGAGGGGCAACAGATGTGGGGCAACAGATGTGGCCTGGGTTTATGTGCTTCTTTTGAACAGCAAGTGTCGAGTGCCCAGGACGACGAAGGCAAGAGTTTGAAAATGCAAGAGGGGCAGCGAGGAGGGTGCCCGTTCTCTAGAAATAAGGATTTACTTTGACACGGAGGCATTTTCCCAGACAAATATTTATCATTCAAAGATGAAAACCCTGTCACATCAGCGAAACATTCCAGTTGCAAAGTTTTTGATGCTGAGTAAGGGAGCTGTCAGGCATCTTGCAGTTTAGAAAGCTTGCTTTATTCTCTTCACCTCCTCCTCCTCCTCCTCCTCCTCCTCCTTTACATTCCCCCCCCTCCTTTGTATTTCTGGGGATTTTGTCCCCAACTTCCTTTCCTTTTTGTATAATAGAAACAATCTATGACTTTCTAGCAGTTTCTCAGTAAATGGCTTTTGATTAATGTTCAAAGCAAAGCGGAGGCCCATTAATCAGTCTCAGCAGATGTTTATTGCTTTAACATGCTGCAAAGGAGGCAGTGGGGTTTATGCCTTCAGTCACCTGCACACATGTATGTTATCGTAATGTGCAAGGCCAGCAAAAAACCCTAGTTTCAGTGAAACAACTCTTCAGGAGCTGCTCCTCCTCCTCTTCCTCCTCCACAAAGAAACCCATATAATGCACAAAAAACCCAGGGAATTCCTTGCCACGGGATGTAATAATCCCATTTCAGCCCAAAAGGTCATTGGATGACCTTCACATAACATGCGCTCCTAAAAAATACGCCCCATTGAGTTTGTTTATTTGAAAAATATTTCTGCACCAAAGGCCACGTATCTCTCTAGGGCTATACCATAGATTGCTGAGTTAATGAGAACTAGAAGCAGGATGCGATCGATCTACTTGTCTGTAAATTTTGCAATGAAAAATAGATCCAGGGTATAATTTCCCCCCATCGTGTTGGAAGGAGGTGAATCAATCCGGTGTCTCCTATCATTAATGCTTGGGCGCTTACATATTTAAAATAAAATCTGGGAAATTAATAAATTGACTCACAGAGAACAGGGGGGGGAAAAAAGAAAAAATGCCATTGCTGCTGGGAGCCTTCCAAGACACACAACATCTATTAGGATGCTGTACAGTGAACAGACTAGGGTGTATGGAATAATAGTCAAATATTTGTAATGTTAATGAACACGCAGACATGGTTTGCAAACTCTCCTTTGCTGGAACCGTTCAGCGGTTATAAATATATAATGCGGCATGCATACAGGATGAGGTGAAACGGAAGCGATAAAAATGCAAATGGCTTTTTGGGGGGTAGGGTGGGGACTAAGTAATCTTTCATGAGATGCTGTAGGGGAGTTGTCTCTTTGGTGTCTGCTGGCAGGGTGGTGTAAAACCACATGAGTAATGGTTGTTGGAGCTTAGAGGGTAATTTGTCCTCTTGCCATGGATTTAACTCTATCCGGAGACGGTTGGGAGAAAAAGAGGAAGGGCACGTTTCGT